TAAATGGAAACACCTCCGCCACCAACTAAGCCTGCTACATCCTGTGTAAATAATTGCATAATCGAGTATTAGTTAATCGTGCTAAATAATGACGTAATTTTCATGTGACGTAATAAAACTTTACCTGTATTTCCGGATGAAGTACTTCGAGGGTGTTAGTGACGTAGAATGTGCCGAGCGTGGCGCGCGACTCCTCGCTCATCGGCTGCCAGTAAATATGTCCGGCGGAGCTCATACAAAGCATGTGCATTACGTCTTCTTGATTCACAAAAGTTACATCGCGCACCTGTAATTTTCATCATGGCAATCTCACATAGAATAGGAAAATATTCAACAGATTCAATATTTTAATATGCATTTACCTTTCCACTTGGCACTAAGAAATGGTGCATTGGATTATTCAGGTCCTTACTGAGATCGAAGATCTTGACGAAATCGGATGTCACAAGTGCAAGTTGTGTCTGTGATCCAGGCAACCAAATAGCTTTGATTACATAGTTGTTTCCTTCTAAGCCGGTGTTCAATACTAGATGATCGGCTACTGCACCTAAAACAATAGTATTTGTAAAGTTAAACTTACAACTTTCATTTTCCCAATACATTAAATTATATTAAACCGTTTTTAAACTAAAAATTTACCTCCGCTGTTAAAGGTAAGCACGTGGCACTCCTTAAGGCCGCATACAGCGAGCAGGTCCTCGTTCCAGGCGTTGCCGCTCAGGCTGAGGACGGTGAACGGTATCGGTGCCGACGATAGCCGGGTCAACGTCAGCTTGTGTTTTGATGAATCCGCTTGCTTAAGCAATGCAGACAGTTGTAGGACGGTGATTTTTCCTGTAAAAAGAAATTTAATTTTAAAAATGACTGTTATGAAAGTATTTTAGCTTCGAATTTCTTAACATGGTCTCGATTTTTATGGCTAATATAGCAAAATGAATACCTTTTTCATGTGATACAGCGAGGTGCTGCCGGCGGCCGTGCGGCGAGGCTAGACAGCACATAGCCACGCGGCGCAACTTGTGCGCAGACATTAATTGACGGATCGTCTGCCCGTTCTCGCCTGTGTACGTCATACGGACGTTCTCGAATGCGCCTTCTTGTGAACCTGAAAAGCACACAAATAGATATAAAACCATTTCATCGGTATAAATAACAGTCCTGTGTTTAATTTCAATTTGAAAGGTGTAAGAATGTATGATTTACCAAGTGTAGGCAGCATAAGTGTATCTGTGTGCACGAAGCGCTTAACGCCGAGGTGCAGCTGTGCGAGCGCGCGCTGCGCCCGGCCGTGCGCGCCCACCGCCGCGCCGCGCTCGCACGCCGCGCGCACCGGCCCCGCCAGCACGCCTAGTAGCTTCTTCACGCGGTCCATGCACGTACCCCACGCACCGTACGACACCAAGTATGAACGACAACCTGCATTACAACACTTGGTTAAATTCGACTCTAAATAGACTATAATAACCTTTAGCATTTGTTAGATTTTGTATGAACAATTATGTATTTCTGAGGAAGGTACCTTGTATGTTAGCCGCTAGTGCAGGGCGGCGGGAGGGGGCGAGGTAGGCAGGCGGTGTGGGGCTGGAGGGCAGACGTCGCAGCGAGGAAGCGGGCGGACTGTCGTCTGACCGGTTACCGCCTAGAGTCACTGACCTCTTTACCAGCGCTTGACAGCTGTACAATAACAAAACATTTAAAGATAAGGAAAAAGAAAAGTAGAGGTATAGACATAAGTATACATGTAGGGTCACTGACCTGGAATCTGGCTTGGCGCCGCAGTCGCAGAAGAAGTTGCCGAACTTGGCGTAGGATACGTCATGCCCGCGGTGGCAGACGCGCGCGCAAACAGTGCACACGCCGACGCCGTCCACCATCTTGCAGGTGTGGCAGTGGTACCAGTGCTGGTTCATGAACTCGCGCTGCGTCACCGTGAACGTGCACAGCTTGTACTGCAACATCGCGTCCTCGTCCTGTACCGTAACTCACTTTATTTATCAACAAAAACAACATCTATGAGTAACTCGAGTGGTTAATGATGATGATTTTGTTGAAAAAAAAAAAAAAAACTCAAAGACACGTGTGATGTACACACATAACATTTTAAATTGCGCAAAAAATCGTTATAAAAAAGGCCCTGCCTCCTGAAACACAATTATTACTAGCTCAGGAGACAGAGTTCCACGAACTGTACAAAACTGTTTTGAATCAATAAAGAATTTTTAATTTTAATTTAATTAATAACAATTATGTTAAAATTTTCATCAAAATTTAATTAATAAACGTGCTTTATCAAAAGGGTACAAGCTAAATGGTTACCTTGACGCAGGATGAGTTACGTGCAAGCAACACTTACTGAATCGTCGGCGCTGGTGTCTTCCTCATCATTTTGCTCGTCTGGATATTCCAAGTCGAAACCTACGTCATAGGGTGATTCCCACGAAGGACTTACAGAACGCCAAGCTACGAAAAAAATATTCAAAAATTCATAAATTCTACCATTTTTTTGACACTACAGTGTGATGTATTTACTTCAAAGTTGAACGTTAAAACTTTTGCTACCTTGTGGTGGCGACGTGTTGATAGCATGAAGAGCGTCTGCGAGATACGACAATAAAACGCACGCAGATTCGATCTGTGAAGCGACGGCGCCTTCGATCTGTCCTTCCTCCAGCTTTTCAAGTACATCGGAGTTGCTGAGGTTGTCCACGCTGCAAAAAAAAACAAAAGGACGTGTAACGATTTTATTATTTATATTTAGAAGAAGAGAAAAAATAATGTTGATACACTTCAAAGTTCAGTCTACCAGAGGTTTCCAGAGGTTTCTAGTACAAAAACTTGCAAAGCGCTACATCGCATCATATTTCACATTATTGTGTATGAGCTTAAATAAATTTCTAACTGTAAAAGAATTTTCAAAATCGGCACAGTAGGTTTTGAGTTATTTCAATACATACAAAAATACAAATTTTCTCTTTATAATATTAGTATAAGTATATTTTGATACGGACCAGGCCGCGAGCCAGCCGACGGCTGCGGGGAAGAGCAGGCGGTGGTCGGCGCCGGCGTGCGCGTCCGCCAGCCGGCACAGCTCGCGCAGGAGCACGGGCGCGCAGCCCTCGCCGCACACGCCCACCAGCGCGCACAGCACGCGCTCGCTCACCTCCTCGCTACCGATCAAAGACACTTGATATAGCGAGAATATATCATTTCATAATCTTTATACAGCACAGGAGACCAAATTCTAGTCCACTTGCTTTACACATCCTTTCACTATAAGGAAAGGCAAGTAAGCGTATTCAACGGAGGATGGGGTGTACTGGAAAGAGAATCTTTCTTATAATCCTCTCCTCGGTCGATAAGAGGTACGCAACAGATCTGCGAATGGTGCAGTTATTTCACATTTTCGGCTACTTTGGGACTGTTTGCTCACATGTCACTTGTCACCTTATGATACATAAAAATGTTTTACATCAAACAAATAACATTTTCTTTCAACCTTGTTATTTGTTTCTTTTTTTCTAATTATTGGAAAAGGCGTTAACTTGAGTTAAATAACTATTAATGAAATAATATAACAAATGATCTGACCAATGTGTGACGATGTGTTTGCAGAGCGCGGAGAGCAGCGTGGCGTTGTCGTTGACGGCGTCGGCGAGCTGCGCCGGCGCGGCCTCCGCCACCGCCGCGCCCGCGCTCTCCTTGCTGCCGTCAGACCAGCTGCAGCTCTCTGTTACATAGCACAATATTACAAAAAATGATTAATCGAAACAATAATTTTGTGAACAATATTTTTAATACTGATGGGAAAATTATTGTGATAAAACACCTACCTGAGTTTGCCGATTGTTGAGCTGTATCCGATTGGGCTCGTGGTGCTGGAGATCTGCAATAAACATAGAATTATAGAATGAAATGAATATTTGTAATCTTAGTAATATTGTAAATGGGGAGGTTTGGATGGATGGATGGACATTTGTTACAGTTTGTAGCCTAACTACTTAAGGAATCTCGATAAAATTTGGCATAGATGTGGAAAACAGTATGAAAGAAAATATAGACTATTTCCAATGTTTTTTTT